CTCTCTCTCTCTCTCGCTCTCTCTCTCTCTCTCCCTCTGTCGCTCTCTCTTTATCTCTCTCTCTCTCTCTCTCTCTCTCTCTCTCTCTGTGCGTGTGCGTTTGCGTGCGCTTGTGGGTGTGGGTGTGTGTGCGTGCAGCGTAGGTATATTAGTGCGCTTGTGTGTCCTAGTAACATAAACTTTTATGCATGTTTCCCATATATAATTTGTGTGTTTTTAACTTGGGTTTCGCTGGATATCTAAAAAGAAATCACTCACCACGTCAAAATGAGTCGAACGATGATATCTCATGAATAAAGTAGAGATATATGTGTATGGAGACTGACACGAACTTTGCGTCGTGTTTTTGTTTGATATACCGAGAAATAGATGTCAATAGGCAGGATATATGTTCATCAAACATTTACACTCTCATCGAGGATAGGTACTAGAAAGTGACCGACACAAGTGTTGAAATAGGTATAGACTACCGGCCCCGAGGGGGGGTACTCCGCATAGTGACGTAGGATAATCATATGCGCCCATTTTTCATCATCCAGCCATCTTTTTGCCCATGATTTCACCATCGAGCCATCCTTTCCCCCCTATTTTTTCATTGTCGGGCCACCTTTTGCCACATGTTTTCACTGTCGATCCATCTTTTTGCCCAATGTTTTCACCGTCAATTAAGCCATCTTTTTGCCCTAAATTTTCCCATTTAGGTGGAGCTAGAGCCGAGCACCCCTATACCCCCCAAAAAGGTCGTGACGGTGGTCGGGTTAATAATGTCCCGCTGTGAAGTGCATTGTGCAACTCGTGCATTGTGAGTAGTGCCAGCCAAAGGCTATTTAAAATTAAGAATCTGATTTCTCCCTAGATTTTTATTAATAACGATTTAGCGGGAAATATTTGATATGTCATTTACACGCGCCCCTCAGCATAACGAAATCCAATCGAGTTCACTTGTTGATTTCCAGCACCCCCATCAGGGAAACATTTGTACTAAACCGTAACAACAAATATGGACGGTTCACTATGGAAAATTTTTCACCACAGCAACCAGCCAAACAAAGCATAAGAGTATGTTTATATGTTAAGTCAGTTATCAGAATGACGTTTTTATTAAGTGTCTTCGTGTGAGGCATGTGGATTTTTAATTTTATATGATTTCAAGGCAAATTTATAGATTATGAACTATAGACGTATACGGTAGGCCTATCACATAGACCGAATAATTCTGTCCCATATATTATACAGAGTGGCTATTAGCTCCAAGAAACGGTATTGCTAGGGTTAGAATACCGGTGTATTGACGTTAGTCACACAGCCTGGTCGGGTTAAGTGGCTATATGCCCGGCAGCCGACGTATATCTGACGGCTGCCGGGCACGGTCTTCGATTTCCTAAATGCCCGGCAGTTTTTAATTTTTTGCGTTATCTCAAGTAAACAAGGGTTAGGGTTAGAAATAGGATTAGGGTTAGGGTTAGGGTTAGGTTTAGGGCTAGAGTTAGGGTTTTTGTTAGGTTTAGGGTTATGGTTTGTGGCTATATGCCCGGCAGCCGGGCACGGTCTTCGTTTTCCTAAATGCCCGGCAGTTCCTAACCCTAACTCTAACCATAACCCTAAACCTAACAAAAACCCTAACTCTAGCCCTAAACCTAACCCTAACCTTAACCCTAATCCTATTTCTAACCCTAACCCTTGTTTACTTGAGATAACGCAAAAAATTAAAAACTGCCGGGCATTTAGGAAATCGAAGACCGTGCCCGGCAGCCGTCAGATATACGCCGGCTGCCGGGCATATAGCCACTGTGTATATTATAGGCAGTGGCTACGGGTACGGTAGCCGTATCTTAATATCTCGAGGCTACGGGTACGGGAGTCTATTCGTTTTCATACTTAACGAGACAAAGATGGCGGCGGGGGCGCTAGATTTCTAAATAACGCCTTGGAAAATAAATTCACGATTTGAGAGTTTAGATGAGCTAGAACCCTAACCCTAACCCTAAACCTAACCCTAACCCTAACCCTAAACCTAACCATAACCCTAATCCTAACCCTAACCCTAACCCTAACGCAAAAAAGGGGCTTGAACGACCGACGGCTACCGTACCTCCAGCCACTGCGTATATTATACGCTGTGGCTATATGCCCGGCAGCCGGGCACGGTCTTCGTTTTCCTAAATGCCCGGCAGTTCTTAACACTAACTCTAACCCTAACCCTAAACCTAACAAAAATCCTAACTCTAGCCCTAAACCTAACCCTAACCCTAACCCTAATCCTAACTCTAACCCTAACCCTTGTTTACTTGAGATAACGCTAAAAATTAAAAACTGCCGGGCATTTAGGAAATCGAACACCGTGCCCGGCAGCCGTCAGATATACGCCGGCTGCCGGGCATATAGCCACTGTGTATATTATAACCTTTTTTATATTTTGGTGAGGGTTATATTGGCCAATATAACCCTCACCAAAATATAAAAAAGGTTATATGGGACAGAATTATTTGGTCTAGGTATCACAGGGACTTGAGGCGGAAAAAAAAGTGTTACGGTATATGCCTAAATGGCAGTGGCTACGGGTACGGTAGCCGTATCTTAATGTCTCGAGGCTACGGGTACGGGAGTCCATTCGCTTTCATACTTAACGAGACAAAGATGGCGGCGGTGGCGCCAGATTTAGAAATAACGCCTTGGGAAATAAATTCACGATTTGAGAGTTTAGATGAGCTAGAACCCTAACCCTAACCCTAACCCTAACCATAACCCTAAACCTAACCTTAACCCTAATCCTAACCCTAATCCTAACCCTAACGCCAAAAAGGGGCTTCAACGACCGACGGCTACCGTACCTCCAGCCACTGCGTATATAAATAGAAGTAGTATAATATATAATACTTCTATTTATATATATAACACTTTTTTTTTCCGCCTCAAGTCCCTGTGTACGGTATAGTATAACGTACGTGTCGTGAGACCATGTATACTCCATAGTCTAGATTAACCCGACCAGGCTTAGAGTCAGACCAATAAATTGTGCCCTAAAATCTTTTGTATTCTGATGTTATTTTAGGATAAATAAAACATCAGAATAACATAAAATAATCAGAACACATGATCAGAGCACATCAGAATCACCTAAAATAACATCAGAATATAAAAATTTTTAGGGCACAATTTGTTGGTCCCTCGGTCGGTTCCGGTGTGCAGGTTAAACTCCGTTTATACCGTTTAGTCTTAGACGGTATTATATTTTAAAACAGAGTTTTGAGTTCTTAGATGCCTTATTCATCTTTGGTTTAATTGGTTTGCCTGCATTGCACTTTTGTATTAAATACATGTGACTGGGCCATATCCATATTGTTTCCATAGCCCTAGCTCTAGTAACTATAGCCCTCCGCTCCGCCTGCGGTAGAGCGGAGGGCTATAGTTCTAGAGCTACCATAGCCCTTGCCCGTAAAAGACGTATTCCAAGCTCTCTTTTCACCGTTTCGAATCGAATGGATAACGTAAGTGTAATGGTGGACATTCTAAATGCAAAGCGCTATTTTAAAATATAATGCAGTCAATTAAACGGAGTTTAAACCATAGTTTAACCTGCACACCAGAAACAACCGAGGGCGATTTGAGGTATGGAAACAAGCGTTTACCTAGACGGTGCGGGAATTCGCGGCGGGTAGTAATTTGCCGCATTTAGGAACACTGACACTGTTTCGAACAGTGGTTTAGTTAATTAATTTAATGAGTAATCACCTGTCTCAAATGCTTATTCAGTTATTGTTCAGTGACAGTGGAATTTAGTTTTTGTAGTTCAGCCAAGAAAAGATGCTTGAGTGGATAATGCATCGCCACTTTGGATTTTTAGGTATAATTTATTAATTAATAATTATATATCATGATAGCTAAGACTCAAGAGATGAGCACGCAGTATATGAGTCATGACGTCGTGTATACTACTTCATCTCTATCTGTAATTCTGTTCATGCTGGTTTTCTTTTTCAAAGTTCCAGAAGTTGGTAAATCAGCCCTATGACGAGGCAATTGAACTGTCCGATGAAGAGGATATTGTAACCACAGCACTTCAAAATATAGAATCTTCTGTCTCGTGTGGTATGTGTAGAAGGCTTACAAAACTACGCAATTGCCATATATTAATTATGCTGTAGAAAACAAATAAACATCTCTCTTCACTGAAAAATATGAAACTTTTAAGGAATATTTTTCATTATACAATAGCGTAATTTCCGTGATATTTTTATTGTTATGTTATATTTTTATTTTTCATTTCTGTGACGGGTAAGGTTTGGAAAATGGCGTATATATATGTAAATTGGAAATGAATATTTCAAATAACAAATAGTGTATATTACGGGAGGTTGTTATTTTGTGAGGCACTGGGAACGCCATTGTTTTCTCGTTGACAATCAAAAAAGGGGCCAGCAGAGTGTAGTACATTGAAAAATTACCAAAAACATCAAATATGTGTAAATCGAGGGTTAGGCCTATAATCCCTATTGTTGAGGGATTTCTTCTTGCAATCCTTCATTTAAGAGTATATATCTTCTGTCCAGATAAAATCTATTCAATCTTTATAGAGTATAACAACATATTTAGTTGCTTAATAGAAGTTTTTGCTTCTTTACAGAATTAAAATAGAATGCTAAGTGCAGACATTGAAAGTTAGCTTGTGCAACCTATACTGTGTCAGTTACGAAATGTTTATGCACCAACACAGTGTGCCACAGCTATCAGCTGGTCATTCTCAGTTTATGTGCTTACGAGATTAATGATCATTTTTGCCATGTGTATAGTCATGGGTTTAATACCATCCGTTTTATTAGTACATCTTGATAACCATAAAAAATGTCCCAATTTACCGGTGAACACAGTTCCAGTTGCCAATGCATACCTACTTCTATCTTACGCAACTGTCCGTACACAACAAGCACTGTACAATACACACACAAACATAGCATGTAGTACCATACATATTGATTTTCCCAATGATGGGTTTTTAAATGGCATGTAAGTGTTGGCTAAGTTTAGCTACTGTGAGGAATTTAGGTTATTAAGGCTTTTAGTGATAAGTTTACATGATTATCAAGTATGTACTTGTTTTTATGCTGCCCAGGGCAATAAGGCAACAAGTAAGGTATGTACTAATTGGATGCTTTCAGGGGTAGAAATAAGGAGAAAAAAAGAGATGGTCCACAGGACCATCTAGTTTGAAATTTAGATGGTCCTCCTAAATTTTAGATGGTTTTCCTAAATTTCAAATTGTTCTCTAAAAGTAATGCGGCGTGCAATTAAGCATAAGAAAGAGATTTTACATGGTGATAAAATGGTTTAATTATTTACCTACAACAGTGTTAGAGTTTTAAAATAAAAACCTTTTGCCAAACTGGGCGAGTGAGTCAATATAGGTTAACTGGCCCAAATTTTAAAACAAAAATGCTTGTCAAACAATAGTGAAAAAATAGACTATGGGGGTGAGTTCGGGAAGGGGTCCCTGATTAGGCGGGGTCTGGGAACCCTCCCCCAGAATTTTTTTGGAAAATTACGCCTCTTAGATGTAATTTCCTGCACTCTGAGGCAGCATTATTAAACAATCTTCATCACAAAAATATCACTGTTGAGTTGAGTATTTTAATCTTTGGGGACACCAAAGACAAAAATACTTGCTTAAAAAAAGAGAAACATAATAAACTTCAAATTGCTGAGGGTTGAACTGCTCAGTCTCTGCCAAGTTGTGCAAGTACAAGGCTAAAGGGCCAGGCACACTAGGCGATTAGATCGGGCGATAAAATCGGGCGACAAAATCACCTGATTCTATCGCGCGAGTCGAGTGGACACACTAGGCGATTAAATTGGGCGATTAAATCGCCGGTGAATGAAGCACACACACACGCACACACGCGCACAAGCACACACACGGCACGACACTACACAGCAAAACGCAGCGCCGTTGTGCTGAAAAAAAATACATTGTGATTTCGCGCATTGTGTCTGAGCGCATCGTGTTCACTCTGGTTCAGTGATCAGAAATTATGCATGTGCTTGTTGTCCATTGGCTGATGAATTGTACAATCGGGCGATGTTATCGCCGGCCCCGGACACACTAGGCGATGAAATCGGGCGATAATATCAAAACGTTTTGATCTATGCGATGACATCGGGCGATGAAATCGGGCGATAATATCAAAACGTTTTGATCTATGCGATGA